GTTAATACAGGTAATGAGTGGAGAACAGGAGGGCTTCTTAAAGAAGAACTAACATGTCAGTGAGAGCCAAAAGATGATCAAATACTTATTTCACACAATAAATTGGAAATTAATTATTTAAAAATCATACATTGTATTTTTCTGGATTTTTGTTTTAGATTCCATCACTCACAGTTGAAGAGTACCTATGATAAAAATTACAGTCATCTACAAGCTTTGCAAGTGGGAAAACCTGAAAAATCAACAGTGTATCAAATACTTGTTCTCCCCACTGTACCATGATATAAAATTTGGGTCATACCYCCCAGCTGTAATTTAAACAGAGATCCAGTTGTTTTGTTTTTGTTCTGTTAATTTCCCATGTCCTGGACTCTTTCCTCAGTTTATTCTTCAGAGCTTTTTGTCTGAGCAGCAGACTCTCCTCTCTGTATGCTCGGTTCATCTTGGTACAGCAGGACGTTTTTTATAGTTCAGTAGCAAATCCTATTTAATATCAGAGATGGGCATGCTTGCAGCTAGATTGTTTGTCCAGAATGACGTCACATATCAACAGCTGTATGCCTTAGAAACAAGAATTATGATTTTTGACTTTGCTTTGCTTTGTTTAGCAGGTGAAAAGTCATAGATTTTAATATTTTTTTATTATAGTTGTGAATAATTAAACCAGAATTTTAATTAAAATGTTTTATTACATTTATTAGCTGTATGACTTAGAAACAAGAATTATACCCTAAAAATTTGTACAGCAGTTGCCTTCAGGCCCAGGCTGCCCTTGCAAAAGAGATCTGCGATTTCAATGGGATTTGCCTATTAAATAACAATAAAAATTGTGATATTTGGCTCTATTTTGTAGGCCCGTTTAGCATGTGGAAAGTCGTACTTTTTAATATTTTTTCCTTACAGATGTGAATAATTTAAATCAGAATTTTTATTAAAATATTGTAATAATGCAAAATATAAAGATATACATTTTTTTGTATTTTTCCCTTCATTTGACATTCAAGCACTTTAAGCCTCTCGTTTTCAAGATCATCTCTTACCCCCCTCAGGCTTGTCTGTGTTMGTGTCCAGGGGGCGCCCACCACCAGCTGGGGAACTCTGCAGTTCAACAGAGAACTCGGAGGAATGAACATGTGACAGAGGACCCTGGGTCTGCTCCACCTCAACCCCYTCCTCTGTGGACAACTCATCTTCATTATCCTTGGTCTCACAGGTTTGAGTGTTTTCACACTCAGGCTCCTTTAAAGCAGGTGCTGGAGAAAAGAAAAACAAACAGCACTTAACTAAAGGCAGGAATAAAGGGAAGAAAAATGGAAATGCAATGTTTTTTTAAACTTGGTGCCAATAATCAATCCCTGCAGGAAATTATGATGCTGTAATCAACAGAAATTCAACGTGTTCTCATAAACTACACTCTGACATGAACTTTCAATGAACGGTAAATGGAGTGTTGTAGCATTTGCTGAGGGGAGGAACACTGTTTCTGCACTTTGCCACACTTTTGCCAAGTTGGGGGCACAAATCAGACTTAAGTGATATTTATTCACCCTTTTTAATCAGATTAATATACCGTAGTGTGAGTGATCATAAGATAAGCAGGGAATTCTTAACTCATGTCAAAAACTCAAAGATGAGGAACCAAATTTGTCTTTTATGGCAGTTGTTGGTTAAATTGTGATTTTAAAAATATGGTTCATTTAATTACAAGAAATATTAATGCTGATGATTTTTTTTTTACTTCCTAAACTGTTAATTTAGGTTATAGAGCTGAGTTACGTTTACGACCACTATTAGACCGGTGGGCCTAGATAGTAGGGCTGGGCAATTAAAGGCACAGTGTGTAGGATTTTGTCAAGTCTTTTAGCTGAGATTGAGATAATCACTAATACAATAATAAAAAACATGTCTAATCATTGCAGACAAAGACCTTGTTTTATTATTTTTACCTTATAAAAAGCTGTTTATATCTCCATGGTCGCAGGTCGCCACTACAGGCAGCCGCCATCTTGCACCGCCATCTTGAACAAAGACTAGACTTCCTGTCGCCAGTTAATTTGTTTATCACCTCTTTCAGAATAAGACTGGAATAAACAT